CATTTGTACAATATATAGCATTTGTATATAACATATTCAATAATTTGTATAAAAATAACAGTAAGATAAAGGTTACAAAAAGATTGACAAGTATTAAAAATATTTTCAAAAATATTGTTATGCTTACGTTTCCATAAACAATAATACGTAAAGAAAATTTTAGAAAACTTACGGAATTGAAAATAGCTGAGATGGCTGCCAATAAATGCTCTAGTTTATCAAGTGGGGAATCGGCTCTCTGCAATCGCTCAATGCATTTGAGAATTCGCTCCAGATTCTCTTCAGAAGGAGGTATGATCTTCGACTATATACGCAAAACAATTGAAATTTAATAAGGTTGATCATTCTTTTTCATAATATAATATAAATTTTATGAATTTTGTGAAGTTAAATATGTTGTATGTAATAGATCCATATTTGGGAAAATTTACTCACCTGAACCCCGAGATCGTGAATTGTCTTGCCCTGGGCATGCTGAATGTTTTCTGCTAGGGTTTGCAGCGCCCCACTGGCGAAATAATGTTCATTGAACAGTCGGCACACATGTTCTCGAAGGGGTCGCACCACCAAACCCATCATCACATCCTCAAGAATCGCATCAAGATTCAAAAACTCGTTCGGTCGTAATTTCAATCGCTCTTTTTCTACCTCCTTCTCAAATTCACGTTCGCCATGTTTTACCAGATAATTCTTCATACCCGACATAAACTGGCGCATATTGCGCATTACCACATGCGGAATCGCTTCCTTACTCTCTCGCGTGCATTGAATGAAGTTGTCGATATTCTGCGAGAAAGTTGTAGTTTTATCTGCTGCAAGTTGAAGAGCATAAGTTCTAATAGACGCCCCAGTCGCATTTAACTGGTCACGATTTTTGGAAAGCACTTGCACTCGTGGTGGTACTGTAAAAGATTAAGTTTAGAATTTCTTGGAAGAAAATATAAATCATATTTGTAATATTTTAATATACAATTAAAAAATTTATGTTAAATTTAATTGAACATATATATTTTATGTGTCCCAAACGATGTATTCAAATTTTTGTGTTAATGTAGTACAAGATAAATATATCATATAAAGTAATACAATATTATATAAAAATTAACATAGAAAATGTAACACAAAAAAGTAATTGAGAATTTGACGCAATTTAAAAATAAACTTTCCCTGGAAGAATTATAGTAGAACTTCTATTAAAACATACCGATAAATTCCCAGCTAGAATCTATCGCCCAAGAAGTGTCATTGAACACCTTGGTTCTGATCTTTGGTGGTTGAATAGGCTTCGCCCGGGGAATCTTTTTTGTCTCTTTAGTTTGAGCCAATCTGTTCGCTAGGTTATCGACTGACGACGATATTAATGGCGTCTTGTCTTCTATCTCTTCGGATGGCTCCTCCCAGCAATCAATAGGATGCAATTGATTAGCATTATTCCCTGTCGGAGTTTGTAACCAACTTGGTTCGCTATGTCGATAATTGTTTGCCGAATTATTTTTGATTGGTCGTCTTCTCGGAATTATAATGACATTTTGAACAATAGTATCAGCTGGTTCCGCATAGAAAGGACTGCTCTGTTTACATTCGGGAGTTTGAGGACTGTTGCTCTCTGACTTCGCTAAAACAAGACCCAATTTGTTTCTTGGAGGTGACACCATACTGGGACTATTCAATGAGTTGGCACTGCCTGCAAAAAAGATTTTTTTTTAATCTTTAAACAAACAATTTTTAATATTAAAAGTTTCGGTAATTGAAAAAAAGGAACATTATTAATTTTAATATTTTTCCACATAATACCCTTTATCATTAAATAAAATTCAAGAGCAATAAAATAACAAATAAGAATAAATATTATACTTGCTTTAATAATCCTTGAATATTAAAATCTTATTAATGTAATTGATAAAAATATGCAAAATTTTTGGAAAACTAACGATTTGGCTGAAACTTAGCACAAACGTTTCTTATTAGAGTGTCTACATATTCACATCAAAGTTTATGTCAAATGTATCCTTGGTACCAAATTACCTAAAGTAAGCGTTGCTTCTAGGATGTAATAGAAACCTGGAAGCATAGAAACGTTGGAGGTGGCTCACAAATAGATAAAATGTATCTGAACCGTAGTTATTCCTGCTGGACATAAGCCAGATACAATATGTTAACATTTTACAAAGCATATTAGGCAAGAAAGTCTAAAATACAAATGGGACGTTGATTAAGTGATATAAACATTCCTCCTTCTCTAGATTCGAGCTCATATTTGTATTAGAAAGATACCTAGAGATTCATCATCTGCTCAACAAAGTCATAATTGACTTTTTCGATAGCGCGCCCTCATAATCTGGTAGCCTAGGGAGGAGTCATTCCGGAGAGGACCAAACACTCTATTGTCTCACTCAACTTCCTCCGTCAAGACATCGCAGTTTCGAAGCTCACTTGTCTTCTTCAGTTAATTTTTTATGGACATATCATATGTCTACTACGGTTAATTTGATATCAAGGATACATGGCGTAAACTTCGATGTTGCTGTGATTTAGCTCCTAAGGAACTTTTGTGCCAAGTTGAGTCAAATTCTATGTTTGCAAAATTTATTCTATTTTACATGATCTTTTTTTATATAAATTCTTTTTATTTGAATTGACTTTAATATTAAGCTACCGTTTTATTAAATCTTTTATATAACAATCTAATAGACTCTTACAAACTCTAGATAGCAGATCAGGTTGTTTTCCTATATCAATCTCTTCTGGCGAGTTCTGTTCAGAACTCTTCATCTCCAGAATAGGTTTAAAACTACTAAATTCTGAATTCATTTTTTCTTTGTATCCCATTTTATCGTTTTTTAAGATAAATCCGTCATTCTTTAGAACCATTTGTTCTTGTACTGGAAATTTTTCAATGATAAGACTTTCGGATTCTTTGGGACTCATCAAACGGTCATTTGAATTTTTCACACAATTCTGCGAAATACAGGCGACACTATTTTTCAATTTGTCATTCCAAGTCGACTGTGTCGATTGGTCAGTCGTGTTCCAGATGTCTTCATAATCGGAAATCTTATCGGCCGGTGAACTGCAGTAATATGAGTTCAAGATGTCCGATTCCTGATAGTGTTGAGAGTTTTTCCGGTTCTCGCGATCTCGTCGCTTTTTTGATTTGCTGGTGCTAGAAGGAGTAATTGGAGAGAGCACATTGGGTGTTTTTGGTATCAGCTTCGAAGTAGGGGATAAAACTGGAGTGATAGGCGAAAGAGGTGATTTAATGGAAAAATTGGAATTGAGAGATTTATCAGATTGAGGACTCAATAGTGACGTGTTCGGATCCGACGGTGTGTTTTGCTGTTGACAAACAGAGAAAGAGACAGAGAGAAAGAGAGATGAAATGGTTGCGACTATTTCAATGTAGTAAAGATAAATGATTTATTCTTTAGTTACTAATTACTTTAATTTATATAGCAATAACAATAATCAACGTAAGACACATTGCATTATAATAAATACAAATAAAATATATGTGTATCTATAAAATTAGATACAATTAATTACATTAAAAGTTTAAAATTAAATAGAAGGTATGAGATAGAAACGTCGATATCAAAAATGAGAACATATTATAAGAAAATTTATTATACTAAATTAAATGAAAATGGTCCGAGAAGTTCACTAATTGAGTGAAAAAAGTCATATTAAAACGAGTCTTAGAACTTAATAATAAGCATCTTCAAAACACTATAAGTAATTTATTACAAAAAATATCACCTCAGCCAGAATTCGAACCTGAATTTCCCGAATTTCATATAGCGTTTTACTGAGACATGTGGTGATATTAATCATAATAACTAGTATATGTAGAAAAAATGTCTGTTTTAGACGACATAAACAATATTAAGTGAAAATGAACCAAAAAATTCAACAAAATAAGTGAAGAAAATCATATTCGGTCAAGGCGAGTTCAATTTAAGTTTGTGTTTCAAGATCAATAATCGACACACAGTTTGTTTGAACTGAAAATTGTAAACATTCACGCAATATATTATTAGACACTGATCTTGATTGAATATAACTTCACTTATTCATTATTATATTATAATTACGTATTTTTAAATTAGAAACGGTGTGTTATTAAATTAAGAACTTGTTAAAAACGATTTTAATAATTATAAAATTTTATAGAATGCGCTTTTTAAAATTTACCTGTGAAGTGTTCAAATTGCTGCCTTGGTTTATATTGAATGTCACCGTCGTAGTTACAGTAAAGTTATTCTGATTCTGGCTAATGCCAGATTTGGCCCATCTTGGTGGAGGCGGTGGCGGTGTCT